GAAGTAAAAACTGGCACCGTACCCGCCGGATCACGACCACACTACTCCATAAAGAAGCAATAGAAGCCGCGCCCTGAACGAGCACAGAGGACCAATCTACTATTTAGTAGGTTAAAGTCTCGTTCGTTATCGGAATTAACCAGACAAATCGCTCCACCAACTAAGAACGGCCATGCACCACCATCCACCGAATCAAGAAAGAGCTTTCAATCTGTCAATCCTCACAGTGTCCGGGCCGGGTGAGTTTTCCCGTGTTGAGTCGAATTAAACCGCAGGCTCCACTCCTGGTGGTGCCCTTCCGTCAATTCCTTTAAGTTTCAGCTTTGCAACCATACTTCCCCCGGAGCCCAAAGACTTAAAGGTTTCCCGGGGACTGCCCGCAATGTCAATTATAGAACCATCGCGGATCGTCAGTTGGCATCGTTTATGGTCAGAACTACGACGGTATCTGATCGTCTTCGAAACTCTGACTTTCACTCCTGATCAATGAAAACATTCTTGGCAAATGCTTTCGCTGTAGTTTGTCTGGCGATGATCCCAGAATTTCACCTCTAACACCGCCATACAAATGCCCCCGTCTGTCCCTCTTAACCATTACTTCGGATCCGAAAACCAACAAAATAGAACCGAAGTCCTATTTCATTATTCCATGCAAGAATTTCTAGGCACAAAGGCCTGCCCTGAGCACTCAAATTTGTTCAAAGCAAAGATGCCGTCCGCTCCCGACACCCGGTTAAAGGCATCCGGAAGCATGCCAACAGATAGCGGGCGATACAAGCTCACCCATCTCCGTCAGCACCCGTTTACACAGATACGGCTGAAAGGCTGCACAACCACTACACCGAGCCGAACACAAGTTCTGATCGTAACCAAAACCGCGAACAAGCAACGGCATGCGACCGCACAACCCAGGTTCAACTACGAGCTTTTTAACTGCAGCAACTTTAATATACGCTTTTGGAGCTGGAGTTACCGCGGCTGCTGGCACCAGACTTGCCCTCCAATTGGTCCTCGTTAAAGGATTTAAATTGTACTCATTCGAATTACGGAGCCTCAATTGAGTCCCGTATTCGTATTTTTCGTCACTACCTCCCCGTGCCGGGAGTGGGTAATTTTCGCGCCTGCTGCCGTCCTTGGATGTGGTAGCCATTTCTCAGGCTCCCTCTCCGGAATCGAACCCTGATTCCCCGTTACCCGTTATTGTCATGGTAGGCAGATCACCTACCAACAAATTGATAGGGCAGACATTTGAAAGATCCGTCGCCGACACAAGGCCGACTGCGATCATTAAAGTTATCCAGAGTCATCACAGAATTCAACAGAGACAGCCGAAACTGCCCCCGGTTGGTTCTGTTCTAATAAATGCACCCGTTCCCTTGCGGGTCAGGGCATAATTGCATGTATTAGCTCTAGAATTACTACAGTTATCCATGTAGCATATATGATCTAAGGAACCATAGCTGATTTAATGAGCCATTCGCGGTTTCACCGTTTTAAGGTATGTACTTAGACATGCATGGCTTAATCTCTGAGACAAGCATATGACTACTGGCAGGATCAACCAGTTTATTCACACAGTGATACACCCATTGACTGGGTATTGGTTTTCAGGTAACCAAACACACACATCCCTGCCTCTTGCGAGACAAGAACGGCATGCATGATCGTCCTGTGGCGCAACCACACGCGTACACCAAACAGAGAGTATCACACTATGTAGAACACTGAAGGCTGTGTGTGGGGTAAGTGGTTGCCTGTGATCCAACTATCAAATAGTGTTGTTGATGGGCATTTTGATTCCCGCGAGCATCTGGCTAAAGTCATCTTATCTGACGCGAACACTCCTTTTCGCAACTCTACCCTTGTATCTATTTGTGTAAAACCGGCTAGTACTTCATAAGAACTAACGCTGGTACATCAAAATATAAGTTTTACCACACTATATTTAGCACGGGTTTTGTGTGAAGAGAGACAAGTGTCAATAAAGAACTCATAAACTTTTTAAATCGGTAACTGAACTGCAAGGTAAAGCCAAAGATTGTTAATAATTGTATTATCTGTCACATAATCGATTTATAATTCATTATGTTTCCACCAACATTCCGTTAATAGTGGTTCCATTGCTAATATTATAACTTTAAATTTCATGCATATACATATTTACAATAGCAGCCAGATTGTTGCAAAATGTGTAAGAGCGCTGAGGATCCCTTTCTGTGTAGTTATTACTGTGTGGAATAAAGTGATTATTATTACCATTATTAGAGATTACATCAGCTGTATTTGTATGATCACCTTTCTCAACAGGTTCATGTTTTGGCCAGACAGCTGTTTGATTATTTGACCTGGCGCAGCCTAGCTTTGTGGTTGGACTACTCCCGATGCCGCTGAAAGTAATGGAAGAGGAATATTAAACCTAAGGCTATGCATTCGTGAAAAACAATGTGATATTGTGAGGAAATAGCTGTATTTTCAGGGAAAGCCTGAGTCATTGAGGTATAGAAATAAATTTGTGAAACAGTTGGGGCTTGTGACGACTCACCCTGCCTGCTTGATTAATCTGTCTTTTTTTAAGGTGGAAAAATATTAGGAAGAAATATGACTTGGAGCAGCAGCCGGGTAGTGTTCGAGTTGCGTCACTGTTATGGATCACTGTAATCTCTCATATTTGCGTTTGGCCCAATAAGTCCCTATTATAAATGTGGGCGTAATATATCTTCACTGATTTTTCTAATATTAGGAACAGCCTGACCACTAAGGCAACTTGAGATTTGTCAAATACATTCTCACTGGTAGTTGCAATTTCCCAGTGATACATTAATACATTTACATTTACAACCTCATATCTTCGGGCTATGAACGAATGTCCCAAACTTCAGATAAATCATCTCCAACCTGTTTGTTAAGGATCCATAGCGGAATTTCCCGAGGAATCTCGCCGAAATTAAATTTATTTCGCTCTATGATGGTACATTAGGCAGACTGGAAACATAGTAACAAGAGATTATCTTTTGCGGTCTTAACACGGCTGCCTTGCGACTGTATATTTCCAAGGCTGGTTTTTAAGTTTGTCACAGTTATCTTTGGTAAGTGTTTCAACCACGGCTAAAAATTAGGTTGCTTCACACTTAGCTGCCGCCGGCTTAGTGTGGAATTGTTTATTGCCTACAAGATTACAAATAACCAGAATCACCCAAGCAAAGATTTTCTGCCAATAACTACTTATGGGATGACGACGTAAAGATTTGGAGAGCGACAAAGTGCTCAGAAGACTCAGATAGGCTCCAGCCAGACCTAAAGCTTCTGGAAGACTGAGCGATGGTCAGTGGCATGACTTTCAACCTGAAAAAGTGAAAAGTAGTGCAGCTACGCACATATAGGCTGCAGAATGTAAGTTAAATTCTTTGCGAAGAAAGTTTGCGCTGAACACCGTGGGAGCATGACTTAGGTCTAGTTCTAACGGAAAAAACGTACACAAGTGTGATTTACACGGGGGACGTTACGAGGGCATATGAGGTCATACTCTTTACACGGAAGCAGTTAGGTACACTCAGTCCTGAGCTCTTTCTAAGGTTGTACAAAACAAACTTCAAACCACATCTTCAAGTGCCTAATATCACCGCACCCACACTGCTTAGAAGAGACGTAAACCTTTTGGAAAGAGTTCAAAGACGGGCGACAAAAAGAGTGGTTGGTCTCCGAAATAAACCGTATGATGAAAGGCTAAGGAAATTCGGCCTGTTCCCACTTAGCTACCGTCAGCTTAGGGGGGATTTGATGACCAGAATCAACCAAACATAGGTGTCCTGCCATTGAGTAGGTATAGGTTTCCCCATGGAAATCCCATTAGGATAGCTCACCAGAGGATAAGGACCCGGATGCGCTCCCACTTCTTTTCACTGCGGGCTTGCCATCCCTGGAATTCCTTACCGGCAGACGTATCTATGGCACTGTCCACGGACAGCCTTAAGAGATGGCTGGACGATCATACAGTGGCAAAACAGCTGCATCCAAAAGGCCTGTTCCCTTAAAATCTCATACACTATTAATGGGTAGACATCTAAACTCATCGTCTTACTTCTTCACACCCTCCCTTGTTTTACTTTCCTGACTAATCCAAATATAACGTCCCTTACGGAAAAATTTATTTATATTATATATCAGCTTCAAATTTAATTAGCTTTCTGTTTTTCTTCTTTTTCTTTATTTCTTCACGTTCCCATTGGAACATAGGGCTACAAGCTAGATGCTTGAAGTTTCTGTAGCAGTGGTGTTGATTTTTACGGGATGAGGTCGCTAGTCTCATGCCCAACCTTTCCTCTTCACCAGATCTATTACTGGCTTAGCGAGGTAAAGGAGTGCGTCGGTGGCCGGGGATCGAACTTCGGACCATGTGCATGGTCGGTGAGCGTCCTAACCGCTGTGCCACCGACGTTTTGTTTTATTCCTCTTTCTGTCTTTTGTTTTGCAAAACTTAAATTTGTTATATCTGTTAGTTATACCTCTTTTCTTTTGCCGATGTCACTGGGGAACTAACTAGTGAAGGGATCAACCCCATTCACAGTAGCAACACGGTCTTAACACACCGCACACTACAAACAACACATAATTAATCACAGCACCCCTTCTTTGGGAGTCAACCAAAGCTGCGACAGACGAGTGGCGGGACGAACAACGCAGAAGTTTACAAAAGAACAGGAACCTTCGTGTCACAAACAAGAAGCAACCTAAAAGAAATCGAATTTGTTTACAATCGCTCATAAAGACGATACTGATTATTGAATATTGAACCACACCTAGTCTCTAACGTTTTCTTCTCACAAAGCCTCTGATAAGTAGCTGAGCCCCTGGATAGCGTCTTAGGATATCTCGGATGCCAGATGATTGGAGATCAACTGAAATGAATCATTTATTGTTCTTGAGATTCTGTTGTTAAAATGTGTCAAAATGACCTTTGCGATTTTAATTGTTGAGTTAAGATGCTTTTCAATTCACGCACTTGTGAGTTGAAGAAAGTATGTTCACCAAAGACAACTAGTTATTACCCTTTTACTGGTTGCTTTCAATCTTTTCGCATGTTGGCGATGGCTATTAATTTTTGTGGGCTGAGCATACGACTGCATGGGCAAGAAGTGATGATCACTATCGACAGTTCGAAAGTTTTTTCAACCAAGCAAACTTTTATTGAAAATCCAAAAATATTACGGGGTGTGGAGCCTGATATCCCTTGATGACAAGTATTACCTAATTTTTGTGAAAAAGAGTGTCTTTAAAGTGACACTGGTTTTCCCGATGAACACATTGCTTATCCTCGAGCAGACGACGGAATAGTGCTTAACAGTGTGTAAGAAGCGCAGTCAAATGCTGCAACAATGGTCTTTGTGCTTAAAAAGTCAATCTTGTTTGTAAACAACCCCAATGAGTAGATATGTAAACGAGCAGTTCTATTAGAATCAACCATCATATTTACCTTACTGAATTGTTTCGACTTAATTATTCAAGGAAAAATTTCATTTTAGCATGAATTAAATTAATTCAAATAATTGTGTTCATATAGTAAACCGAAAAATGTAGAAGAGGTTTTCGTATAGTTCATTACCGCTCGTTTGTTGTACCAAGCTTTTTTATGACGCTTAATTTAAGTGGAAACAATTTGCCTCATTCAATACGTGCTGCTTCTATCGGAACGCTTCGATTTCGATCGTAAGTTCATTTTAATATGGTCACTGGGTAGGCGCTGCAAAAAGTTTTGCCCATTGTTTCCTCATGTATTGATTCCAAGTTTCGTCTATAGGTTTCCCTCCATTTCTTACACAAGAATTGGGGTTACTTCTTAAAGTCACCTTCTCTACCGACTGTTCAACGTCATACCATGCATTCGATGATGTGGCACATCGATTTAAATACTTTCGTTCACATGGCTTACGGGTTCACACTTTGCTCTGCTTACTTCAGTATGTGTAGCCGGATAGTATCCACAGCACTCTTACGATGAGTGTAGCCCTTAGCCCGGCACATCTAAGATCTATTCCAGGTAGTCGAGTTTTTAATTATGCATTGGAAAGTTATTCTAATGGTTGCGTGGAATTTCGATACTGGTAGAATTCAATTCCGTATTCGATAAGTTTATTTTATGTAAAAGCGATACAGTTATCAATGCTGTGTCACTGTGTTATTTATAATAAATGTATATTAGTGTAGAAAGATATTTTGTGGTAAACTAACTTTTCTAAACAAGCAGGTTGCTTTCTCAAGCTGTATGTGATACTTTTTCAGCGAAATCAGCGCCTGGAGTCCGTCAGTATTTCAGAATTATTTAAATCTGATTACTCGATTGCATATGTTGTCCCAGAAGTAGTTTGCTTAAGTTGAAATAAGTTACTCAGATAATGAGAAAGACCTAGTGCATTTCCCTTTTTGATCGCCTTACTTTTTCATCGAATATATGACAAATGAATGTAATTGTCGTCTATATTTTGCATACAAACGTACCAGTAATTTACTTTTACTCTCTCATCAGATATTGCGAAGGTCGACCATTGGTACATGGCTGCCCTATTTTCATTTTTTTGCGCGCTTTTCACCTTCTATTTCTGCATTAATAACCGAAAGCCAGAAAAATATTTCTCGGAATTGTCGTCTAAAACAGCTTATCGATTTTGTGGGTTGAAACCTTATGGCGAGGAAATTCCTAACAAGTTAAAACAATGCTCTTTGGTTCACGTCAATGCATTATTCAGACATGGAACTAGAACTCCAAATGCAAAGTCAATCGTAGGATTTGCAGATGTTTACAACCGCCTGAAGAGAAGGTAATTTATATGCATTCTCATTTTTCTAAAAGTCAGTATTTTCATCCGTTGCTTGTAATTTTTCTTAAAAATGTCGTGCTTATAATGATATTCACAAAACCAGTTTCTACACCTTGAAGTAGCAAGAAAACTAATGAACGGCTACTGGTACACACAAAAGAAAAGACGGACTTTACATGTTAATTGGAGAAATGGCAATCTAAAACTGCACACAGCTGTACCAACTCATCTCGCACTAGTGAAAAGAAGACAACGTGAGAGTAAAGAGTATAAATAGATTGACTATATGGCGTGAGTAGGCAGAGGAATATAAGTATAGACTAATAAATTAGTAAGTTTTGTGGGAGAGCTGGTTCATGCGTGGTAGTGTAATCACTTTCTTGTCTATACACCTACTGATTTTATAATATTATAGTTTCCTAAAAACAATTGAACAGTGGTGAGCTAATTATTAGTAATGTCAAATTTTATGTTCAAATTATCATGCAACCACCACTAACATTTTTCACTTTATTCATACCCGATTTATTTTCTCATGTCCACAAATGTGGTTGCTTTGTTCCTGTAACTTCCCTTCAAGACTTCAAATGCAGTAGCAGCATCTAAGGCTCCAAAATGCTGACGTAGTAATCTTCAAAAAATGGTTTAATCAGGATATTTTTGGAGCTCTCGCTGCGTATATTCTATTGTGATTGATTAACTTTTTGAGTGAGAAAAATAGAAATATTCTTCCCTCTGACTTGTATAAAGCAAAATCCAGGTCGCAACACTATACTTAATAGCTTGATTCATGTTTATTTCATTGCTTATGATGGTAGAGGCCTTCTCTGAAGCATCTTGTCTTCCAGATTTTATCTTTAAAAGTAAAAACAAAACAAGATGATTTGAACTGTACAATTGTTTCCGATAAATTCCTCCTCAGGCACTACTACAGTTATATATCCATAAATATTATAATACAAATAGCCATTAAAGGCATGTGAAAAGTATATCGGAAACTGCTTGTATTGGGGTACATGTATAATATGGATTGATAGTTCGGCATTTAATATTATCCAACTAATTTAGATTAAAAGATGTGCAGTCATTCAGGACATAAGATAAAGTGTGAATAGACAAATGGGTGACATACTAATGTATTTATAGTCAAAAGAATGTAAGTTTCATCGGGGGTGATGGAGGGAGGGTGTGATTTATATTCAATAGTGTGCGAGGAAAATGATTACCACAAATTACATACAAACAAATACTAACAAAGGGGGAAGAATGAATGTAAGTTCAATCAAAGGCTGACAGACATCGTGTGTATAGTGATAAAATAAAGAGGTTAGATTGTGAAGTGTAATAAAATGCATACTACAGACATAATAAGCTGCTTAGTGTAAATTACAAAAGGTTGACACATAATAAAGGCAATAATAGAGTAAAGTAAACTAGGTGAAAAGGAATAAGAAGGCATAATATGACATGACAATATGGATTATTATGTCCCCGGTCACATTTTAGTAGGTCAGGGTAAGCAAAAAAGAAGATGAATGTGTTTCTTTTGCGCAGGTAGGTCAGGTTTTTTCTTATTAATCTCTATAGCTTCCACTATAGTTAAGAGATGTAATCGTGTGCCTTTAGGCAGATTGTTTGGTATTCATTCGATATACAACCGTAAATGACTCATCTATTTCAATATGGTGTTCACTATCTACCGGATGAGACAAAATGGCTCTATTTATTGATTCGGTTACACTTTTTCCAAGCCAAAGAGGAACATGTAGAGATAAATTCCTCTCAGTTCGACCTATATATAACTAGCTCCACATAAGCAGTTGAACTTGTATACACACATTGATGTCGGTCGGTCGGTTTTCGGCATAGAACTTTGCACATATATGCGGCAGTTTAAGTCGCCACACTCCATGTAGCACACAAAGCAAGAGAAGAAAGTAGAAGAAATGCTTAATATAGTCAGTAAACAGAGGTGTGAGACAAAGGAATAGTAATAACGGAGAACAAAACAGGTTCGTTGGAAATCATAAGTCACAAGGAGTGGATGCATCTGCGCCAGGCATTGAGAACGATTTTGAGCCATATCACCAATTGTTTCCAACCATTGGTTTTTGCCGTCCCGAGGACCCCAACCAGGAAGTCTACACCTTCCTACGTGGCTTAGACTAACTGTTGTAGATTTCATTGACTGGTGCCATGTTTTAGTTTGGCCGCCGCTAGCTCTTTTCCAGCCTGGCCCTATATCAGCTAACATTGCCCGTCGAGGAAGATGATGACTAGGCATACGTAGCACATGTGGCCATCTTAGGTAATTTATCTTTGGTGCACTGTGTCAGTAATGATCTGGTTGATAACAGCATTGAAAGTTCGTTTAGCTGATCTGATCAACCTACGGTTTATTATAACACTCCTAATTAAAGCTTTTTTTATTCACCATGTGGTGCTTAATTTTATCAGTTCTCTTGGAAATATACTTCTTTACAAAATTGGCGGGGTAACCACTTTGCAGTAGGGTATTTTTAAGATTTCCGACTTCATCTTTAATACAATATTCAATGCATATACACCAAATTCTATAACTAAGACAACCAATCAAGTTGCTCCGTTTTTATTGTACGGGTATGAAACTATGGAAATGGATATATTGTCTGTTCCATGTCGCTTTTCTGTAGTTGTTTCGCTTTAATTTCCTGTCTGACCTCTTGGTAAGAAGAACATCCAAATAAGAAATGCTTCTTTGATATTCTTCTTCGCAAGTGAATTTAATTGCCGGGTGCACCATATCGAAATAGATGAGTCATTTACGGTTGTATATCGAATGAATACCAAACAATCTGCCTAAAGGGACACGATTACATCTCTTAACTATAGTGGAAGCTATAGAGATTAATAAGAAAAAACCTGACCCACCTGCGCAAAAGAAACACATTCACCTTCTTTTTTGCTTATCCTGGCCCACTAGAGGGTCAGTGGGGACATAATCATCCATATTTTCGTGTCGTGTTATGCGTTTCTTATTCCTTTTCACCTAGTTCACTTTACTCCATCATTATTGCCTTTATTATGTGTCAACCTTTTGTGATTTACACTAAGCAGCTTATTATGTCTGTAGTATGCATTTTATTACACTTCACAATCTAACCTCTTTATTTTATCACTACACACACGATGTCTGTCAGCCTTTGATTGAACTTACATTCATTCTTCCCCCTTTGTTAGTATTTGTTTGTATGTAATTTGTGGTAATCATTTTCCTCGCACACTATTGAATATAACTCACACCCTCCCTCCATCACCCCCAATGAAACTTACATTCTGTTGACTATAAATACATTAGTATGTCACCCATTTGTCTATTCACACTTTATCTTATGTCCTGAATGACTGCACATTTTATACACGTTAGTTAATTAGATAATATTAAATGCCGAACTATCAATCCATATTATACATGTACCCCAATACAAACAGTTTCCGATATAATTTTCACATGTCTTTAATGGCTGTTTGTATTATAATATTTGTGGATTTATAACTGTAGAGCCTGATGAAGAAGTTATCGAGAACAAATGTTCACTCCAAATCATCTTGTTTTGATAACATTATGGGGTAATAACAAAAATTCAACTGACTGACTGAAATTTTGAAGGTAGGACTTTGCAGTTCCAGTTACCACACACAAAAGTAACGAAAAACAATAATTTGACGAAATTATAATGTATGAAAGCCTTTGGGAGGAAGAATAAACACTGAGAATAATGAGAATTTGATGGACCTAAGGGGTTATAATTAGTGGGAACGATTTCGAGTTAGGTCACCAACAGTTCCCAGCTACCGATTTTTAGCGTTTCGAGAACTTGATGCAGCATGAACGCCCAAGGAGTCATACATTAGGTATTTTTTTGTGGTCAACACTAGATTCTGCTTTGGGGTGGACTTGTGAAAGAATGCACTGTAGGTTATAAGTCGTTTTCCACCGCCTATTTTAATTTAATACTTAATCCTGAGTAATTGAAGCTACAGTTGTTGGCCATAAGCACACGACTTCCACCCGTCAACATCATGTTCTATGTTGTAGATTGATGTATGGGCATATATTGGTAGTCAGTGTTCAAAAAGTAGTGTAGTATTGTATTAACTTTCATGGCACTACTGAGTTTTGTTATTGTATCTTATTATAATGAGTCATGGGGTTAAATGTTGTTCAGATTGCATAACTTTGAAATGTTTATTTGATTGTTAAGTGTGATTGAGTATTCAACATAACTTGGTAGTACTTCATTTGAGATCACATTTTAGAATACAAAACTATGGAATCATCAAAGAGAATTAAACAAAAGTAAAAGCTGGTGAAAAAAAGTGTTTAATTTCAAGAATAAACACTTTCAAACAGGAAGTTGAGCATAACTCATGACTCTGTATAATTGTTTTTTACACAAGGGATCAGAAATTTAGCTTTATCACCAACTTATCCCTCCCCCCCCCCCCCGCTAATATGCATTTCAGTGAAGTGCCATCAGCGAAGTTTTTGTTACGGATTAACAGCTGTTGTGTTTAACCATTGAAAAAGGAGGGATACTTAACGACTATTTAGTTCAACTGCATCTAGGACAGAGGCCAAGACTGTAGGTATCGTGTCAAGCTCGTTATTATTCAGTCACTGAATCAGAATTCAGTGGAGCATTTACTTATTCGTGATGTGATGCGAGCATCCAGTATCGTCGGTAATTGTCCTCGTTTTTTCGAATAAATGAACCACATCGATCACTGTTGTTTACTAGAGCTTTGAGAAATATTTCAAAGTAAACTGATGTTCAGGTTTGCTTAGTTGTCTGATTCAGGTAGCATTTCCTGAGTAGTAGCATTCCTTCTGCAAAACTTTATGGTTTTATGTTCAATCTGTGATGTGGTTGTCGGAGGATATGATGACCAGGTGGACTTCTTGTGCTTTTGGAAGTGTGTTGGTGGTTGTTACTTTCCGGCTTCGCACACCGTGGAAGTTGATTGATTCTTGAGATACCTGGAACAGAAAGAGAATTAGTGTTGTGTGACCTCAGAGTTCAGGGGACAACTGTCTGAGGTCGGTCACACACAACCTGTCTGAACTGGCTTTTTGGTTTGGTTCCGTATTAGTAACTTACCGCCGGCTACGAACTAGCACGGGGTAAGTCAGGATGTACAGTTTTCGGAGCAGACCTTTTCTAACCCTCTTTCTCCAGAGTGAAGAGACAGCATAGCTGACATACTGGTTCCCCTGCAGTACGACTTCGCCCACAGACCCCCAGCATAGTGTAAAAAAATTCTTACACTTTGCGGGTAACTGCTTTTAGTCTAATCGCTATCCTAACAGTCTTCGTGGTAACGTAGGACCTGCAGGAACATTAGTTCCAGCCAGTCTAGCTTGTTGGGTCATTGAGAAATACAAGCGCGACCACCACATCAAGGTAGCAGCCATCGGTCGCGATGTGGTTGTGGATATACATTGCTAAAGCCTTCCAAACTGGGATGAAACAGTCGTTCAGTGTTCCCTGTTTTCAATGGTTCTTCTTTGCTGTCAGTGCAAAGATCAGAAGCATACTGAATCTTAGCTGTCCAAATGAAATGTTCCAAATGTTTTACACAGCAACTAGAGAGTCTTTAATTTCATCAAAGTATAACAACAAGTATTCGCATCATAAAAAATCTCTGTATTTCATTTATTATTACTTTTAGCTATGAAAATGGATCCCCGATTCCTCGTGAATTTATAGAGCATCCAATACCATTTGAAGGTTCCGCAGTGAAAGAATTATTACCCACTGGGTATGAAGAGCATGATGGCTTGGGAAGACGATTTCGCGATCGTATGATAAAGTACTTCAACTTAACAGATGAAAATGTTCGTTTTTATTCGAGTTCAATAGATCGTTCTATTGCTAGTGGACGAGCCTTTTATAACGGAGTGAGTAGCAGCCCATCTTTAATTTTTGCGTTGATCATAAAAGTATGATTTTTTACTTGCGTAGGTTTTTATATGTAATGAATATCAATGTGCATCGGTGGCACAGTGGTTAGGACGTTCGCCGACTATACACATGGTCCGGGGTTTGATCTCCGGCCAACGCACACCTGATATCACCTGGTGGGCCTGGTAAATTTGGGCTACCGATATCACATGCTGAAGATTCCATACTTGTACTAAAAATATTGTGGAATCAAGCTATAATAAAAAAAATAATACAAAGGAACGATATAATGCTATGTCTCATCCGGAAAATGATTCTCAGACTGTCGTAGATAGAAATCCAATTTTTTTGTCTTGCTCACAGCGTTATAAACCGATTTTTGACATTTCGAAGCTTAATCACTGTTTGAATAAAGCAAAGACGAATATATTTTCAAACAGGATAATATGAGCCCGTTTTGTTTTGTGGATTCTCTGTAACACTGCGTACATCCTAAACAAAAACGGGTTATTAGTTTTTCAAAATTCTGTCTGAACATACTTTTTACTATGACTTCAAGTTATCGATAGAAAGTTGGTATAGGCACATAATTTCAAAGATGATGTAAGTAGACAGATTATTCAGTGTTAAAAGAGTAACTATTTATATAGTAATGAGACAAGGATGTATAGTTCAGATTTCTCTTGGAAACAAGGATGGACTACAGACGAAATACAAGATGGAACAACAGAGTGAATTTATACATAATTATGGTGAAGAGTTCAGGAAGGAGGGTGGTGGTGAATAGTAGAGTAAAATTATAACAAAGACAAACAATTAAGGAAATTTGGGAACCTAATAGTGAGTTCAATTCAGACAATAAGTGGAAATAAAAATCAGAATTAAGTGTGATGTTACGCAACAGAAAAAAACACGAAACACGAACAAAACAATTGTGGTCACCAGGGTAGTGAGAGATTAGTCACACTCTCTTTCTGTATTCAGAGGTTAGGTCAGAGTCTTTTAATAACGATGGCTTCTGCAAACCGGAATAACCACGGTTTTGTTTTGTGTACTGATTATTCAGAAAGCCTGAATAATTTCCACTGGATGTCCCATGTCAATTAGGTATCTGGCAATTGCGCTTGAGAATATTTAGCTGCCTTGAAAACGGAGTTTTAGGGAAATGCTTGGAGAATCTGGTAGACACTGTCCTCTCAGTCCTTCCTATGTACTTGATATCCCAAGTGCAAGTGAATTGGTAAACGGAGTTGGAGTTGACATGCAGAGCAGGATATGTATCTGCTTTTGACTGAGTTGTAAAGTGGAATGAGCCTGTTGGATGGAAATGTTCTTTTCAATGCACCTTCAAGTATGTTTTCGGTTCTTGTGGATACTTCTTCCCCTTTGTGTGCTAGACACATAAAAACTGGTTTCTTGTCAATTATTTCTTGTTTCGGTTTGGGTGTTTTTTTCTTTCCTATATTTTAATAAGAACTTTCGAGGTGTTCATTTTCAATGAGGTTCTTTTCGATGACTGAGAGTTCCTCTTCGACCTGATCTTCTAAACACAATGCCTTAGCTCTACTGAAGAGCGTTTTTACCAGGCTCCATTTGTAGCCGGTTGGGTAGAAGCTGTGGTACTTCAAGTTTCTTTCCTATAGATGGATTTCTCAACCGTCTCATCAATTCTTCTTTTTATGCTGAGATCTAGATAGTACGACTGATTGCTACGTCACTGGACCTTTAATTCTGTTTTCCCTTCTCGTGGATACTTCTTTCCCTTTTTGCGCTAGACATATGAAGACGGGTTTCTTTCCAACTATTTGGGGTTTTGATCTAGGTGTGTTTTCCTTCCCATATTTTGATATGAACTTCCGAGGCTATCCATTTTCAATAAGGTTCTTTTTGGTGTGCTATAGAGAACAACTTCCAAATAGTATCATTCATCTTTACTTCCTGTAATTGTTGCCTACATAGACCTTCTGGCCTTCTACTTCAAACCCACGATACATGATTAGAGGAGTACTCATCGCTAAATAGTTCCTATCTATGATGAAATATGCCTAGTCTTCTGTAATTACTCAGCTATAGTCACGGTGATGGAAACTGTTGTGGCAGTGATCAGCTATTCGGATGAGTCTTACAGATCATCTGATATACAGTATAATCTGATCTTAAAAAGTTCTTGGGGATTGTAGGTTTGAAGTAAACTAAGGTTCCATTACTTTCAACTTCTATTTCAGTTAAACTCACTACCTTACATTTATCACTCTTCTTACTGTGTGTATCTGAGTGTTATCTGTCACCTGTGTTTCTAAGAGATATGCAAACGGTAAGGATTAAATGCATCCCTGTGTATAATTTCTGGTTAATATACCTCTGTAGTGCCTCTGTAGTGTTCATTCCCAGTAAAACTAACCATTTCCTTCGTCAGATACAATTCTTACTTATCTCTTTGTTCTCCGATTCTCATAGACTCGATGCGAGTAGAGCTCGCATTTGTGATGTGATTTATATGAATTACACATCTAAGCTAAACAGTAGTTGTTAGATAGGTAAAGGAGTGGTCGGTTTGACTTTGAACCTCTTATTTTTGAATTGATTTTTTTGTTGGCTTTCTGTTTTTGTGTTATTTGGGGGGGGCGGTGCAGCGACATGAACCATTCATTATACACGCGGTAAGTTAGAGTTAACATGATAAGGGTATTAGTCGAGTTTTGATTGTATCAAAGGGCGTGTTGACGCCCTTCTAAGTGGATTTCTTTATTCTCTATTTTATTTGATCACATAATCTTTGGCTTTAATCTCTCCCTCATCTTTACGCTTACTCAATTTATTAGTTACTCCTCATCTTGCTCACCTCTTGTCTTTAGTTGATAGGCATCTGAATACATGCGAAAAATGGTCTGAAACCATACTCTCCGACCCCCAACACCCCATCTATTCCCAACTCTCGCCTTGTATCTCATCAAGTAAAACCAGAAATCAGTATAAAATAATCTATGCTCGTACAACCAAGTACAGGAACTCAACGATACCGTGCTTAGCCCGTGTTCTAAGTGACAGAGACAATGTTAAGCGCGAAACCTATGACTTGCTTTGTTGTTAAAAACATAATTTTAGGCTCTTTTATTTCTCTCTTACTTTGTATTCAATAGTGAACTCCTTCTCAAACATACTTAGCTACCCAAATTATTAACATTGGCTTCCTTTTTTGTACGTTACTATATTCCTTCTATTGTGTATCCACTGGTTCCGACTCTATTAGCACCATGAGTATTACAAAATTGTCCTGTCACTAACCATCATGTAATTATTAGTTTTGTGATTGTTTTTTCTTATTTTCTGTACTTTTCGGCAATATTAAACTGACAATCATTGGTTGTGAACGCCATACTCACCACCTTAAAAAATTTTGTATTATTCACGATTACTCACACTACCACTACAAACACTGCATTAGACCTGACAATAAAAAACAAAACAACCCTGAAATGTTATTTTATGATTGTTTAGAGTTGTTTCAATCAAATTAACTGACCATCTTGGCGATAAACATGGCGTAGAGTATTGGGCAAAGAGGGAAAATCAAACGAAGAGGCTATAAAGTTACATAGATTGAGATGGTTAGGTCACGTGCTGCGCATGCCTAACCATCTCCTCCCCCGACGGGCATTACTAGCTGATATAGGTGCAGGTTGGAAAAGAGTAAGTGGTGGCCAAACAAAAACACGGCATCAATCAATCCATGAAATCCTTGACAGTTAAACTGAGTCAAGTAGGGAGGGAGATGCAGACTTCCGGGTTGGGGCCCGCCCTCGGGACTCTAAGAATCAATGGCTGGAGACAATAGGTGACATGGCTCAAAATCGTTGCCGATGGCGCAGTTGTATTCAGTCTCTGTAATCTTTCATATTCCTTTCTACCATTACTCATTCTGTTTCACTCTTATACCTGTCAAAACTCTATTGATTCTCTTCTCTCATTTTCTTGTCTCCCTTTGTGTGCTATTTGGAACGTGGCAATTCGAATTGCTGCACTTCGGTGCCAAGTTCTATGTTGAATCCAGTCAGCCAAATATCATTTCATAACTGCTTGTATGACTATAGCTTTACTGTCACCATGCATTATCATATCATAGCTTCCACTACCCAATACTGAGTTATTATTATATGATGTTTATTTTCCTTTCTACTTCTTGGTACTTTTTCGCATTTAAAATTATTTTGTGTTTATCCTGTTTTTTTTGTTGTTGGTGTCTTTAGATTTTTTTATTGTTTAAATACTCTTTTTAAATGTTTGTAAAATTAGATGCAAATATTGTAGATATGTGCTGAAAATTTCACACTGTACCACTAGTACTGTTTCTGGAATAAAGCAAATTATTATTTTTATTATTTATTACGTAACTCCTTTGTCATTGTATGGAAACATCTATTTTTGCTTAAAGTTGAAGTCTTCCGCTAAAAACAATATAAGTGTAATTTTCTGAGCACTGTTCATCATTAAGTTTGGCGCCTCCTGTTAATTGACATCACGTAACATTTGTAAGTGACTGACTGACTGGTTTCAACATAGAAATTTGCATAGATGTGCGCCAGTTCCAGTTGCCACACTCCCTCCATGTACCACACAAAGCACGAGAAGAAAGTAAAGAGAGATAATAACAGAAATATGAGGCAAAAGGAATAGTAGTATGGAAGAACAATAGAATTTTATTGGATATTATAAATCACAAAAAATGAATGCATCTGCACCAGCCATTGAAAACGATTTTGAGCCATACCATCGATTGTCTCCAGCCGCCACTGGTTTTTACATTCCCGAAGATCTCAACCAGTCAGGAAGTTTGCAATTCCCTGTGTGGCTTGGACTAAACTAACTATTGTGGATTTCATTGACTGATGAAGCCATGTTTTGGTTTGACCACTACCAGCAGCCCTTTTCCAACAACCTGATCCATCCTATGCCAGTCAGCTAACATCGCCCGTCGAGAAAGGTGATCAAAGCCTAGGCATACGTAACACATAACCTAGCCATCTCTCTCAATCGGTGTAACTGCACAATCTCGCCGATTGACTTCCCCTACTTGTCAGAGTAACACTTGTCTCTACTTTTATTGTGTTCATTTTCTCTTACACAGCTTATAGACGGACCACCAGTTAAGCCAATATGGAATCGTAAATTATATTGTGGAGATGCTGAAGTGCCAGACAGTTGTATACTCGATGAACCAACCGACGACAATACTATACATCATAAAAATATTAAAATTAATGATGATTTGTTAAGATTTTTTGCAAAATGTAAAAGTTACATTGAAAAAATTGAGAAAAATAAAACAGCTTCTGTGGAGTATTATCAATTTTTGAAATCCGAATATGTAAATACCTCTTATGAAAACTTTTTACAAAGATATAATCTCAACAGAGAGGATTACACATCAGGTGAGTGTTTTTTTCTCTTTCTTCTAGTAACACAAATGAGACTTTTACCTGATTTTCTTTGAGTTTCTTCAAGAGTTACTGAATATTACTAACTATTAAGTGACCGTCTAGGTAGGAAGAAAATCAGTTAGAGTTACTCTGTTTGCACGACTTCAAGCTCGTTCCCGATTGGCTTCAACTGCAAAATAGCTCACACGATTTTTGCGTGGCTACCTATCCTGCTATACCCGGGATTTGACCACACCACCTGTTGACTCTTTAGCCTGGCCCACCTCACTTGATGATGACCAAGGAGGGAGAATATAACAACTACAGCTGCTCGAAGGTGTATTTATTAACGATGGACAAACTCCTTTGATCCCCTAAACCGAAAAGAAGCACTTCTGGAGTGTGGGGTTGTGACTCATAGGGGAAATGAGTTTCTTCAGGAATATAGACTTGTCTTACCAACTAGAGTGCCAATAATCACGAAACGTAGGTCAGGCGGAATGTCCTATTGACTTGTTCCAACCATTTAACAACCTGGAAATTAATTCTACTAGCCACATTGGTTTCAAATGTCTATATTTAACAATTTTATTATGTAGATATAAAGCCGGCAACACTAAAGAATAGGAGCCCAAACCCAAACGATCTAGCGAACGCACAAATGACCTTGTCAAGGACAACTTCGACCAGTCAGAAGGCTCAAAAACGGCGCATAATTGTGAAAAATCGTTTATATAAAAGTAAAGGAATGTTAAAAAATAGTTACAAAGGATAACGTTCTTGTATGTGTCTCAAAAAAGCTCCCAATTTCTCATAGGAGTCTTCATACTCATGTTAAACCGAGTTCTGTACATAAACTCATCCAGATAACTGTATATCATTGGATTTCTTGATCTATTCACAGATCTGATACTTTTTTTTAGCTGAATCCAGAAACTTTCGATGGAATTAGTGTGAGTTTCATCAAAAGGATTGAGAAAACCATTTGTATAGTTGACCGCTTGATGAATATAGCCCAGATTCCATAACTGACTGTAACTACTGCTTTCATCTGTATGAATAGTCGTCCCAGGCAGCACTAAGCGCTGGATAATAGGCAATAATACACCTGCACTGCGATTAGGGATCGTCTCAATATATCCTTTCTGGAGGCTGGTGTCATATATCCCCAATACCTATTGCTGATTTGCACTCAACCTCCCTCGATTATATTTTCTTTTTATCAAAAGTACCTAAGGAATCTGTAAATTAAAAACAAACGACATACGTTCTCGAACTGATTTTCTGGTTAGGCACTCATTTCACCAACAAACAAACCCATCAATGCACCTATTGTATCTGTGCATGTGAATGACACCTCCACACTGGCAATTTTTCGACCTTCCCATCAGTCCGTTCTCCAAACAGTGATCAAAACAAGATCTGGAGCGAATTAGCAACGGAAAAGGTGTACAGCACCCATAATTACCTCTGGAAAAAACAGAGTCACCCGATTGGTTGCTCAAGGTCATTTGTGCGTTCGCTATATCGTTTGCGTTTGGACTCCTATTCTTTAGAGTTGCCATAAAGCCTAATGAGAAATTGTCGAATGTATGTGTGTGTGTGTGCGTGCTTTAACAAAGTTCTCTAAAAGTTATTTTAGAAACTGATTCGATTGAGATAAAATAAACATAGAAATAAATGTTTATTATTATCACAGACTTTGCGATATAGAATTTGTGCACTTTTGACAAATCACAGCTCCTTTCCTTCAATGCATGTGTATATCATTGTGGTACTAATATATGAGACGAAAAACGCATAGTTTTGATTATGTCATAGTGTTCATATTGTTTATAATATTTCAGCTTAAACAAATTTCGACATAAGTGTGTTTCGTGAGGTTAAATAAATCGAATTTTTTTTCACAAAGATTTAGAAAAAAGTACATAAAATTGTACACTGTAAAAATAAGACTTAATTGAGTGATAAATCTTTTGTTTATTTTACTTTTACTACTTATAAATAAGATGCTTGAACTTTTAGTTGTACCTTGCAAGCGAAACCGAGGTGAATCGAACACTATATGGCTGTTTGATTGTGTTGGGAAGTGGTGATGATCAGTGGGGTACGTACAGCGGTGACACTAGCTAGTGCCAGTCGCGCTATATTATGAATTGAAAGAAGTTGGAATTCATGGGCTGCTGGCCATTGAAGAAGTTAGCTCCCAGTGGTGGAATGTGGTCTATGAGCTCGCCTTGTAACCGGAAAATCCTGGGTTCGGACGATGACAGCTGAAGAGTCCCAAACTGGGCTAACGAAACAGCTGTCAAGTACTCGAGTGCTGGTTTCCAATGGCTCATAATGAAAATCATGTAATTACGATCTGTGTGTTATCATTTCGATGGGATTCGGGTACTTTGAAGTGATTTGGCTATTTGAACTTGAGGGTTACCGCATACGTCATTGAATAGCTTGACCACAAACGAGTTGAACAACTGTCTGGTGTTGATATCACTTCGATCTGGCTAACAAGTACTACTGGTTGACTTGAGGGATTCCCAACTACTCATATCAATCAGTAGTAGTATATGACATCGTGCTATTTTTTTATATATGTTCATTGCCATTTATAGCATGAAGGAGGTCGTCACATATTGCGATCTAAATATTATTGATTTTCAAAGGAAACTGTGGTGAATTCACACTTCTAACCATATAATTTACAGGAGGATTAATTGTTGTATTCCTCGTTGAGAATTTACCTTGTGACGACAAAAGACAAGAGACAAGCAACAGATCGTTTATTGAGGAAATCAACAGATATTTATAGATTTTATGTACATTATTATAGGTTATTGTTAGCAGAGAAACAGTGTCTTCTGATTGGTTGTTTTCTCGCTGAAAGTTATTCTGTCATCTCTTTGTGGCTATTTCTTTGAAGGCCATACCATACATATATTTGCGAATCGTATCCGCCCACGCAAAGTCTTCTGTGATTGGTTGTTGAGTTAGTCTTTGCTCTTGTTTGTTTTCTTATGACCAAGATTTGGCACGTAAACATTGACGTAAATTGGCTAGCAGACAGCTCTCACCACAGCCTAACCTAATCAATCCATAGTATATTCTGTGATGTGCTTTAACGCTTAAAGCACACTTCAGTCATGAATTGATTTGAAACACTATCTGGATTAACTACTGACCTGTTGATCTTAACACCTGATCACCATTCAGGTTGAACTGTCTCAATTACTAGTTGTATGTCATTACTCTGAATTTTGTTATAGTCTCAAATTTTTGAGCTTCAAGGCATCATTCATGTCAGTGCATGAGTAAAAATTGTAATTAATACCTTTTCTTTAGTAACTACACAAATTCACTGACCAAATAAACTCGAATTTTTTATCACAGATATTCAAGAATTGTCCTCTTCCATGTTTCGTGAAGTTTCTGTAGCAATTCAGTTAAGTTTTAGGGGTGGAGTTGCTAGCACCACGCCACAACCCTCCCTCTTTATCCGGGCTTGGGACCGGCTAGAAAACTAGCGAGCTAGTAATCTAGGCGAGGTCCTGGACCGACGTGAAGAACCTAGAAGACTTGGATTTCGCGGATGACTTATGTTTGATGTTACACAAAATCGAAGACTTACATGCGAAAACCGACAAACTGGTCGACGAAGCAGCAAAGACAGGACTCCAGGTGAACATAGACAAGACGGAGGTTATGAAAAAAACCAACCAACCAACAACAGCAGCAGCAACATCCAGCGCCAATCATCATCAACGGGAGGGATTTGAAAGAGGTTACTTCATTCACTTATCTAGGGAGTATTGTCTCAACTACAGGAGGAACGGACGAGGATGTCAAGTCGAGAATCGGGAAGGCGAGAAACACATTCATCAAACTGAAACCAATCTGGAAATCTTCGTCACTCAGCCTGCATCAACAACAAAATTCGGATTTTCAATACAAACGTCAAGTCAGTTCTTCTTGGTGGGTGTTAAAGAATATTTCCAACAGCCTGTTGCAGACCTTTATCAACAACTGTCTTCGCTCTATACTCAAGATCAGATGGCCGGAAAGAATCACCAACAAGAAACTATGGGAACAAACAAAAGAAGAACCAATCGCACAACAAATATTCAGGAGAAAGTGGAGATGGATTGGACACTCGCTGAGGAGGCCGCTGGGTGACATCGCGCGTCAGGCCATAGCTCGAGTGTAACCCGAAAGGGAAGCGGCGAGTGGGACGTTGAAGGGTGACATGGAGGAGATCGTGTGAAGAGGAGCTGAAACAGTATGGACTAACATGGATGCAGGTGAAATGTACAGCAGAAGACAGAAACAAGTGGAGACGTGTAGTCAATTAGGAACCCAAGGGAACAATAATAATAAAGTAAATAATGTTTCGTTAAGTAAATTATTTCGAATGCTTTTGCCCTTTTATTCCATTGCGCTCCCAGTAGAACACAAGGGATCCTAGCTTGAGCTGTGAAATTTCAGCACCGCTTTTGGTGTTTTCTGCAGGATAGAGTAGCTAGCCCAGCCTTTCCTCTTTGCCGAGCTAGCTACCAGCTAAGCGAGGTTTACGACTGCGTCAGCTGTGGATCGAACCCGGGACCACATGAGGCGTGGTTGGTGAGGATTCTACTGCTGAACCACAGACTCACAATTTCACATACTGATACACTCATTTATTGGGTAATTAAACATTGGTTTTCAAAGGAACCGAATACACTCATCCGAGCTTCTTGCGAGACGAGAACAAGATGAAATCTTGTCCTGTGGCGCGATCATTTGAGGGCCGTTTCCCCCTGGTAAATCAGCAGGCTGGTTGTTAAGCGATACATACAACTAACTACAATCACTGTCTTTATCAGTGAAACAAACATGTGACTGACTTAAGAAAGTAACAAAAGAAATAGAATTCGGTAGAATTATCTCATGTAAAATAATCTGCCTAGCTACATTAATCAATAATGTGTGAATCACATTCGTAACTTGTCACTTATTTGTTTCATTCACGGTGAGTAGATGTTCAAAAGTTACCTACCGACATGTTTATTGAGAACTTATCTTTACAGGCTAAATTTTCCTTCTGATTTTAAGACTATTCACACTTTCAGTTAAATAGTATGTAATCATTGTTAGAGGTACTAGAAATCGTGTCTCTTGCTTGGGACTCGTCAGCTGGATAAACCTGGATCCTAGTGATCAATGACTTTTCCACTGGGCCTGCAAACCGGGACGCCCACAGAAATCGAACATTTCAGTTCTTTAAAGTCAGTTGGTGAGCTATTCGAAATAATGTTATAGTTTTCATTCACAGACTTAAGTTTAGTAAGAAATGAATATCGATTAAGTCTCCTTATTCTAGTCCGTCGGCGTATGTAAGTATGGTATATGCTTCACACCATCTAAATGCAAAGTACTGTTAAAAGATTGCCAGGGGCCTATATTTGCAATCACTCCTGCAGGTGAACCTCTTGAAGTCCATGTATCTGGCTAGTTGTGTGCGTGCTGGCAGAGGTGTGACGGACGAGATTTCCAACCGTATCATGAAAGCTAGGATGGCATACGTCAAATTGAGCCACCTCTGGCACCGTCGCGACGTTAGCCTGGTTGTCAAAGGTCGAGTTTACAATGCTTCGGTGTACGCTGTCTTACCCTACGCCTGTGAAATCTGCCCTCTCCTAGCTGAGGATGTGCGGCAACTCTGCGTATTCGACCATCGCTATCTCCGCAGGATTGCTTGCGTTGGATAGCTTCATCGCGTGAGTAAATCTGAAGTCCGGCGGTGTGTGTGTTTGGACACAGTGGAGATCACCATTTAAATGAGTGTCGTCATCATCTGGGAACACCGCCTTCGGCGGCTGCCTGGACATGCGCTACAAATGTCATCCTAGAGGCTATTAGAGTGCATGGAAAAGGTGGAGAGGTGGTCAGCCCATGACTTACATGGTGTCGTGAGATGAAGGATATTTGTATTAGGTTAGCATCGGTTCTGTTTATCCAACTGACTAACTAACTAACTAAACCAATTTGCTACGTCTCTTTTTCTATAACTTTTTTTTATCAACGCTCTTGTTTGTTTGTTCATTCACAGATGATGTCAGAACAATATTCTTAGCATGTTCATATGAAATCGCTGCAATGAGTGATTTCGGCGATAGTATCTCTCCATGGTGTAAACTGCTAACACCGTCTGATATTCCAGTTTGGGAGTATTCTGCAGATTTAAAGGTAGGAACTTTTAAAAGAGAGAGAGAGGGATGTTCATTGTACTATATATATATATATATATATATATATATATATATATATATATATATATATATATATATATATATATAATATGACCCGTCGCCCAAGTGGTCTAGTAAATAACGCTTTGGCGCCTGAAAGTATGGGCACTGGGTTTGAGCCCCGATGGGAAGACCATCACTCACCGTGGAATGCAGGTACATCCAGATGATGAGTCATAAGTAGGACGAAATGCGCGTTATCCTGGATTACTCCACTGCTAGTCACCATCCACCAATTAACTTCTGACTACTTGCCTAGACATCATCGAAACATCAGCACAAGAAGCCGACACGTCAACCTGAGAACGAGCACTTCGGTCGAATCAATCGACGGGAAAATCTAAAATTGAATTAAATATACAACTTTCAGTTTGATTATTGTTCATAACACCGACATGCTATTGATGATACATCCGTTTTTAGTTTAGTTGTTTGAATCGTATAACATTTTGTTATACAAGATTGATCACGAACTCCTTTAGGATTTCTGATGTTTTCTGTTGAAAAATCACTATCAAACTGAAGCGGTCATCCAGTATTATATTGTCTTCTGTAGTTTTTTTTTCAGCTTCCACCGATATGCGTACTCAATTTTCAGCTATTGGGCTTGGAAGTTCTAAGTTCTCTCCGCGTACAAATATAGACATAGTCATCTTTCACACAGTTAGTGTTGAGATATGGTTAGTCAGTTAAGCATTCAACTTCCAGCCACTGGACCATAGATTCCAACTGTTGGTATATTATTATTATTGTTTCCTTTAATTCCTAGAGGAACATAGGGCTTCAGCCGTGCGTCTCCATTGAGTTCGGTTCTCTGCTAGAGTCTTCACCTGACTACAAGTCTGCCCACACGTTTTCATCTCCTCTTCACATGACCTTCTCCAAGTCACCCTTGCACTGACGACCAACTCGCCGCTTCCCTTTCAGGTTCCACTCGAGCAATGGCTTGTCTAGTGATGTCACTTGATGGTTTCCTCAGAGTATGGCCAATCCACCTCCATTTCTTCCTGCGTATTTGTTTCACAATCGGTTCCTGGTTGGTTCGCTCTCAGAGATCTCTGTTGCTGTTCTTTTCTGGCCTGCCATCGGATCTTGAGTGTTGAGCGAAGACAATACTGTTGGTATAAGTCATGTGTAATGCCTGGGCAGAGTCCATGAGACGCTAAGAACCGATGACTGTATTCTGTTGGTGATAAGACACTCATAATCGGTTTCACTGGCACAGATGGATTCACTCTTCACTAAATCCTTACTCTTACACATTTTCATTTATTCAAGTTTCTTTGCATCCCTGTTTTCTACTCTTGTCTATGCCTTTATGAAGTATGGTGGCACAAAGTTCTCCGTTGAAAATTTAGTCAGTCGGTTGAATTCTATTAAATCTACTAAGATTCTAACAACCAGATAACATAAGTACTCACTCGGATTGTCAGTATACCTCACTGACAGGTATATATATATATAAACAGTAACGAAAAGTTAGCCGTCATAAACGACCTAATACAGCTGAGAGTGAGTAGACTTTAGTCTGTCTCTCGAAATGGTGTCCCGTTCGCGACCACGAGTACGTAGCCTCTGTCAGGTAACTCCTATTCACTGTGGTGGTTGGTAGTGTTCCTCACAAAATTGAAAGGGCGAATTCGAACGTCTAACTAGAAGAGCAGACAAGACCCTGATTTCAAAATCATGATGTACATGGTCTCCAGAATCCCATTGGATAACATGACGAAAACCATGGGAACATAGCTCCTGACACTGTTCCACTGCATTGTGGATCGGACTTCAAGTCAAAGGTTCAGCAGGTGACTCATTAGAACAACCACTTGCTTCACCCTAGGCGTCTGAACAGCAACTCAGTTCTCGCAGAAACTGTACCAATTTCGTGTTTTAGTAATAACAATAACAATAATAATAATAACAACTGAAAGTTATGCATATGAATTAATCTTCTTTCCACTTTTATTTTTCAGCATTATTGGCTTAAGTCGTATGGTTATGAGTTGAATTATATACAATCGTGTCCATTACTCGGTGAAATGTTAACACAGATTACACAGGCTGTTAAGCAATTCGCATCTGGAGGTTTTGACCAGTAAGTCACCCTTTCTACTTGCTTCTTCTTCTTCTTCTAAAATCTTTCTAAATAAAAAGACCAAATAAATAAAAATAAATATAAAGGAGACTCTTCATTGGAGTTCAGCTTGGCAGTTTCAAACAGTGTGAATGGTCAGGATAACTCGGGAGAATTCTACACACTTTAAGAATAACATGAGCAGGTTGATGACGTGAGTAATTTAGAGGCGACTCAAGTGAACCAAGTAGTGTTCACTAGCCAGATCAAAGTGGTGTAAACACTGGACGACTGTTTTTGCTCATTTCAAGCCAACTGAGCCCATCAGCAATCGGTGTAAACCAATTTGAATTATGGCCTAGGTACCTTCGTAGTTTTCGAAGTAAATTGAGCATAAGTAGGAATCTAAGCACAAATTGCCGACACACTCCTATAAATACTTAAACTTTAATGCACCCCATCGAGCTAGGTGATTAGCTAGTGAACCAGAAATTATTTAAATAATGAAATTAAACACATAAAGGAAACATTACAAGTGAATAACTACACACCATTACTAGTACTACCATTTCAAGGAAGAATATCAGAGACCTCGTGTAGAATTCCTAATAAGCCTGGAATTAGGGTGGCATTTAAACCAACCAACTAATTTTTTCAGAGATGAACTTTGTCGGCTTAAAGACCCGATAGACTCAATTATGAAAAATAGTATAATTGACCAAATACCATGTAATGACTGTGAGGTAAGTTACATAAGTCAAACTAGTAAATCGGGGTCATTTAGATTATTGGAACATAAAAGTTTAGCCAAAATTAGAATAATTGACCCTGTTGAGTTAAATAACCTAGAAAAAAGCTCGGCCACTGCGTTGCATTGCATTCACTTGCATGTAATCACAAAATAGGGTGGGTCGGACAGAGTGAGTATTTAGAAGTAATGTAGTTAGGTGGAGAGAGAGAGGGGGATTAATCAGTGAATCTTAGTTTATCAATTCAACACCGCACATGTACAGTGGAAATGACGCAACACCTATACCAGAGATATGGAAAGTGGCAACAAACAACAAGGCGAAGAGAGAGAGAGAGGGAAAAATACATTCATGAAGCCATGTGACTAAAGTGGTATGATTTTGAGCACTAATTTGTGCTCGAAACAGTTGTTAATACTGCATCATCACTGTGTGATATTTGAAATAAACTTATCGAGTGTGGAATTGACCAACACTATTGTCGTAGATATATGTATTGTATGATCTAATTATCCACGTACTTGAACACTCATTGTTGATCATTCTGGATGGTAAAGGAAACATTATGGATTTGGCTGGTTCACAGGCTTTATCATTCAACTAACAACCATTGGGGTCAACAGTTTCGATTGCAGTTCACCTATTTCAGTCTAAGTTACTGGTTAGTATCACCAGTCATTACACACATCAAATCTATTGCTCACAGTCTGCTGCAAGAAAACATCTGCACGCAGATTATTATATATCTTCCTACAATCACAAAACACGATTAAAGGTGTATAACTTTATATATATATATATATATACTCAATGGTCGTTATTAAGTACATTGCGATTGAAATAGTTGTTTGCTTTCTCATGCAAAGTCTTGCTCTACACCTGTGAAAATTGCCCTCTCCGACCTGAGGTTGTGTGGTGGTTCCGCATATTTGATCATCGCTACCTTCGTAGAATTGATTGTATCCAATGGTACCATCGTGTAAGTAATTCTAAGGTCCGGTGGTGTGTACGTAGACAAAATGGAGATCATCTTTCATTGAATTTTGTCATCTTGAAACATCGGCTTCAGCGACTTTGACATATACTGCGAATGTCATCGGAGAGGCTCCTATGACTCCCGCTGTTCACTAACCCTGAAACTGGATGGAAAATGAAGAGGTGGTGTCAGCTTATAACGTGGCACCGTGTGATGAAGAATATTTGTGTTAGTTTAGTGTCGGTTGCTGTGTCACGACTCCCTGAATGGAGTCCGAGAGGTGGCGAACATGCTGCAATTTCCTACTTTCTTCCGTTCCTGAAGGCAACATGTGAAGTAATGACCCATCCTTTGAATCATCCTCACAAGTATGCTTGTTTACTTCCTGGATGACCTCCCTCATTTATTCTACCCGCATTATCCTCATTTATACTATTGTTTTATTGTCTTTGTGTGCTTCAGCTCTTGGTGTCCATAATGTACTAATTCTGTGTTTCAATATTACTTATAATGATGACATGTCCCTGTTCCATACACTTTTCTAAATTAGTGTTGAATATGTTATAGGGACATGTTTCGGTAATGAAAACTCATTCGATATTTTTAGATAATGACTTTTATTCTCACCTCTGAATAGCCAGCCCCTCTCCCTCCCTCACGAATTGGCACTAATAAGACAAATGTTAGAAAGCAGAAGGCTTTAAAGTTGTTAGTCCTTCTCCAATCAAAGCTTATCAGTAAAAACAACTTTTAACCCATTTTATAGGCTCGACCAAATGATCTTCATATCTCACTGAAAACATATAACCAACCAAATTTTGGAGTCGAAACTCCAGTTTGAAGTTTATGTTTTCATAGTGAGTTAACTAACAGCTTTATGACAGTGGCATGTGTCAGGTATTCCACAACGGAAACCTCAGCGAAGAAGCCTTTAAATTGAGTACAGGAGTAGGATAAGGCTGCCTACCCACCATTACCGATGATGATATTCCTGATTGTGGTGGACTGGATAATGCGAAAGACTGTGGGCAGAAAGCAGACAGGAATACGCTGCACTGGCCGATAAGGAGACTCTAGAAGATCTGGATTTCGCAGATGATTTATGTCTAATGTCACACAAGCTCCAAGACTTACAGATGAAAACGAAAAAAACTGGAGGAAAAGGCAGGAGGCAAAGAGAAGACTTCAAGTGAACACGGTGAAGATGAAGACAATGAAGATAACCAGCCAACAACAACAACAACAACTAGCACAAATCACTACCAACGGGAGGAATTTGAAGGTGGTTACTTCCTTCACTCATGTAGCTAGACAGCATCGTTTCAACTACAGGCAGACAGGCAGCACAGATAAAGATGTCAAAACCAGACAGAATCGAAAAGGCGCGATACACTTTCATCAATCTGGAATCAGTTGGGAAATCTTTTGCACTCCTCCTCAGAATAAAGAACAAGATTCGAATTTTCAACGCAAATGCTAAGTCAGTCAGAAACTTGACTCGAGCGTCACATAAAGCATTTCCAACTGGTCACTTCAGACTTGTATCAACATCTGGCTTCAGACTGAAGATTAAGTGCCCAGAAAAAAGTTAGAAACAAGAAAATTTGGGGACAGACCAACCAGGAAGCTATTGCTCAACAAATATGTAGAAGAAAATGGAAATGGATTGGGCACACGTTGAGGATACCGTTGAATAACATCGCACGCAAGGCCATCACTCGAGTGGAACTGGAGGTGATATGGAGGAGATCATTTGTGGAGGAGGAGATGAGAGAATATGGTCAGTCAAGGGCCCAGCTAAAGATGATCGCTCAGAGTAAGAAAGAGTGGAGATGTGCTGTCGAAGGTCTGTGTTCCGCTTGGAACTCAAGGAAATAATAATAATAGTATTGTTAAATGAGTTGACTTGAAACATGGAGGGATTGTTTACTGTTACGATGAATGAGCATATTTTCACTTCACTCCGTAAGTGGCTTTTGTCAATTAAGATTTCCGTGAGATTCACTTCAACTTTTACATCACTTAAAAGTCATTTAATTACAAGTCAGTAGGAATGTTTTTTTTAGAATTAAAGGGACCTGTTCAGAAAACGGGGTAGTTAGGTTTCTTAACTTGGTTGATTGGATACCTGGAAGTCGTTAATTTCTATTGCCTAGAGATGATTCCCTTCCAAAAGTGAGACGTCACTCCATGCTAACTACTACTATTACTATTAGTTTGTCAAGATTAGGTTACCTCAGACAGACGGTCTCTTTCGTCAATTAGTACCGTGATTCCCTAACTGTACACTGCGTTTTTACTATCACATTAATCCCTCTTTTATTTCTTCTTCCTCTTCTTTTCAGATCTGACGTGTCAGTACATCGTGGAAGTTTTTGGTTTGGACATGCAGAGACTGTACTACCCGTCGTTGCTGCCTTGGGCATATTTAACGAATCTGTAGGTCATTCTACAGTGCACAGATTAACAGCGGATAATTTCGATGAGAGATTAAGCATGCTTCAACAGGATCCACCACCGCCAACAATGTTTCGTACAGGTTATATAACACCATTCGCTGGTAATATAGCCTTTATGGTGTATTATTGTCCTGACTCGGGTACGTCGATTCCCTTTTGTTTTGAGTGTTAGTTTTCAGGGGTTTGATTTGATTGGTTACACGATTTCATCATGATGAGCTGACATCGGTTAGAGAATCATAGGGAGGCCAGTACTAGAGTACTGGACAGCCGACAGTTTCGTCCTAGTTTTGGACTCTTCATCACCAAGCATCCGCTGGGGTTTGAACCCATAATTTCTGAAGTGTTAAGATAGCCAGTGGATTTTTCAATCAATAATATTGAATATGTGAATCGCTTGACTATAAATAATCAATGACATTTCTCATTATTTATTCTGTTACTTCATATTTTAGAGAAATCTGTCGTTTTTTCAACCAATTAGAATTAATTTCATCACTATATAGTTAAAGGTATAACTCAATGCCTTAAGTACTCGAATTTTCGCCAACGCGTCCAGGGCTTCTAAGCCCAGTCTGTGTAGTATATCGTCAGCCTTCTGGCGCATTAAGTGTGGCTAAGTGGCCTGCTACATGAGAAATACGTTCCAGATGACGACTGTGTTTTAAATAATTACAACTAATCTATAGGTCACATTCAATTTTCGAAGACATATTATGCTATCCGAATGCCATGAATAAAGTGAGTTGCTAACTTGGAGTCAACTATTTAGGCATGGAGTGATGACAGAGCCAATTAAAAACACACTACAAGGTTTTTACGAGTAGATAGCAGCTAGAGAACCATTGAAAACCAGCACGGGAGTACTGGACAGCTGTTTCATCCTAATTTTGGGAATTATCGGTAGTACGCACCCACTGGGGTTCAAAAATCCTGGGTTTGAGCCCTGTTGGGTGCGTACTGCTGATGAGTCTCAAACTAAGATGAAACAGCTGTCCAGTACTCCAGTGCTGGTTTTCAGTGGTTCTCTAACTGATATCAATAATCCGTGATCAACTCGTAAAAACAAAACTAACCCTTACAAACCAAACTATAGAAAACCCCCTTACAAGGTTATTGTCATCAACCATAGTGAAAAATCATCATCAGAGCTGTGTAACATGGAATGATTGAAAGAAAAAAACAAAAGAAAGGATTCTGTTGTTTCTACTGATGTTTTTCCTGTATTTAATGCTGGTGCTAATAGCAGCTAGCTAGCTAGCTTTATCAAAGTAGTAGTATTATTATACCAGAATTTATCAAAATATCAGTTTATGTGTAAAAACTTGATGATCGTGCATCATCAGCATGGCGTCACTTTTATGTTGTCAAGTTGACCAATTGGTAAAGATAACAATATTGAAATAATCCAGAAAAATTTCAGAAATCACAAAGAACGTCTAATATCATCAGAAGCACTCAATATCAAACCCAATCCAAATTGTATGAATAATAGAATTAATGATGGATGGACTAAAACAGAATTTGACCACCTAGTTCCAACACCCACCCCTCTCATCAAGTCACAAAATTAACACAAATGTGAGATGATAAGCAATTCAATTATGTAAACACACATGCTGCTCTATGTTTGTATAATTTCATACGCTTATCAAATCCAACAATCTACACACACACACAACACATGGTTTTGTTATCTTTACCAATTGGTCAACTTGACAACATAAAAGTGACGCCATGCTGATGATGATGCACGATGATCAAGTTTTTACACATAAACTGATATTTTGATAAATTCTGGTTTGATAATACTACTACTACTTTGATAAAGCTAGCTAGCTAGCTAGTTATTAGCACCAGCATTAAACAGAGAGACATCAGTAGAAACAACAGAATCGTTTGTTTTGTTTTTTTCTTTCAATCATTGCATGTTACACAGCTCTATGATGATTTTTCACTATGGTTGATGACAATAACCTTGTAGGGGGTTTTCTATAGTTTGGTTTGTAAGGGTTAGTTTTGTTTTTACGAGTTGATCACGGACTGATATCAGTTAGAGAACCATTGAAAACCAGTGCTGGAGTAATCGACAGCTGTTCAGTTCTAGTTTGGGGATCATCGGCAGTGGGTACCCACTGGGGTTAGAACCCAGGACCTTCTGGTTACAAGGCAAGCTTGTATACCATTCAGCCATTGGGACCCGATTCATTTGCCAGCCCATGAATTCTAACTTCTACCAATTCGTGATTTAGCGCAACCACCAACCAATGTCATCGACGGGACATCCATCCTCACAATTGGCTGGATGGACCTCACTGGTCACAACTTCTCACTAGAACTCCAGGAAACTCCATCCTGCTGCAACTCACTAGGGAGCCTCATAAATTTTTGTTTATCATATTTTGATGACTGTTTAATGACCCATATCATTCGAGAAAGTTGTTAAAAAGAAGAGATGTCTTTATATATATATATATATATATATATATATATATATGCCAAATAAGGTATTGTAGAGCTTTTGCACCAAGTCATCCGGGCGTATAGTCTTCTATAGTTGCTTCTAGTTCTACCCAATGAGATAGATGCAAGGAGAGAGTTGTGTATAGAGAGGATGCTCAGAGTTTGACAGCGACACCCGACTCGCCCTACTGACAGCTTTTAATGCCCTTCGCAGTATGACAAAGCAGTCTTTCCTAAGTAGCCCAGGAAAGATTAAGAGGGAGCAGTAAAGAAGGATAGGCAGAACACAAGAATTAACAAACTTAGGAAGCAGGGACTGAGTGATACAGGATTGTTTTGACTTCCTTACGTAGAACGTTGAACGAAATATATTTCTCGAAACAGACATGATGTAGGAAGACGAGGAATGATCAGAGGAAATATACAATCCAAGGTATTTAACATTTGACTTAGATTCAACTTCAGGTTTGGACAACCTGTTAGTACCATTGGCCCTCACTCAGTACATGTGGCTCATTGCCAACTGCATGGGAATGCAAGTGATTCTCGTTTGGTAATATTTCATTGGTTTACATGCATCCATAGTTCTGCGCTTCTTTCGGACTGTCCTTCACACAAACCAAACATCATGTTGATAAAAGATGGTACCAAGACACTCATGTAATCCCCCGAAATCCCTCACATATACACCATGATACCCGCCTGAACAACTATGAATACTCAGTCACTTCAGCAATAAACTTCTTGGAGGGTAACCTAAAACATGAGACTTGACACCGGTGAGAATAATCAGTAAATCCACTAAATTCTCCTATTACCCTAGTGCTCTATATTTAGTCGAGAGACTTATCTCAGTATGCTAGTAGGTTGGTCATTTCGATATAACAATTTGAGCAGATTTGTCATGTTGTCAAATAGGTGAATGACAGCACCTTAACGGGTTAAAAATACGTGCTGAAAATTAGTCGTTTGTGATAATTGAAGTTGATGGTTAAATGATTAAATGACGTGGCTCATTGAATTAGGCACCGAACTCTCAGAAGATTCGAACCCTAAATCATCTATTTCAGCCTGGGCAAGTGGGTAGTATCAACAGCCCTTACACAATAGTTATTCCATGAACTGAGTTCAAACAACCAACAGAATTAAATGACATCTGGGTTGTATATTTGTCGATAGACGTACTCAGACTAAAGCTAGTCGTCATGAGAGTTAGAAATATTGCACTAACGGGTTGTATTCTGTGCGTTTGATCTCTGTGAGGTGTTAATGAGTATTCAGCGATAGAATCTGTGTAGCAAACTAGCGGGTAGATTTTCAGTGATTTCTACCTCAATTTTGATGGTATACGAGATACTTCTTGGCTTTTTATGCCCTTAACTGTTTTCCATGAGACAGGTTGCATGAAGCACAGAGACGATCATGTCATTAGACTGAATCGTAGGATAAAGGATAGTAAGGTTAAGATTTAGTGGATGGAGTGACTAGAAGTGGATAGAATCCAGGATGCTCATTTCGTCCTATTTGACACTGACTCATTATCATCTGGATGCAGTTGCATATTCCCCAGTGAATGATGGTGTTCACACTGAGGCTCGAACCTAGTTACCATCGGTTCAAACGCCAAACCGTTATCCACTAGACCAGTTGGGCCACGAGAGCCACCTTTTTCTTATGCAGCGGGTATCAGTTACTATTATTGAATTCAATTTGAATTTTGCCTTGGATACGCCGTCACTGACTGGAGAACGCAGGTACATCCACTAGGTTAAGAGTCTCAAATGAGACGAACCCAGGACCTTCGAAACCCAGTGGTTGCGTACTGCCAATGATTCCCAAACTAGGATGAAACAGCTGTCCATTACTCCATGACTGGTTTCCAATGGTTCTTTATCTGATAACAATAATCCGTGATCAACTCGTTAAAACATAACTAACCCTTACAAAACAAACTATAGAAAACCCCCTCTACAAGGTTATTGTCATCAACCATAGTGAAAAATCATCAGAGCTGTGTAACGTGCAATGATTGAAAGTTAAAAACAAAACAACAAACAATTGTGTTGTTTCTACTGATGTTTTCCCTGTAGTTATTGCTGCTACTAATAGCTAGCTAGCTAGCTTTATCAAAGTAGTAGTATTATTAAACGAGAATTTATCAAAATCTCAGTTTATGTGTAAAAACTTGATGATCGTGCATCATCATACATGGCGTCACTTGTATGTTGTCAAGTTGACCAATTGGTAAAGATAACAAAACCAGTGTGTGTGTGTGTGTGTAGATTGTTGGATTTGATAAGCGTATGAAATTGTACATACATGGAGCAGCATGTGTGTTTACATAATTGAATTGCTTATCATCTCACATTTGTGTTAATTTTGTCACTTGATGAGAGGGGCGGGTGTTGCAACTAGGTGGTCAAATTCTGTTTTAGTCCATCCATCATCATTTCTATTATTCATACAATTTGGATTGTGTTTGATATGAAGTGCTTCTGATGATATTAGACGTTGTTTGTGATTTGTGAAATTTTTCTCGATTATTTTATTATTGTCGAAATCGTATTTGTGACCTGTTTGTATAAAGTGTAAACCTATGGCTAATGATTTTTAAATTTTTTCTAGTTGAAATGGATTTCCCAGTGGTCGAATAGATGCTCTACTGTGTTCATTTCTTCTGATTAACTTGATTTCTCTCTGGCGATGTTTGTCCGATGTATATCGGGTCACATTCCAATCATTTTTTTTTCTAGACATAATTAGATTGATAATCCCTTAGAATTCGGTCTTTTGCATAGACGAGGTTGCTTTGTAGTGTGTCTGATGTATTGAAGTATCTGTTTGATGTTGTACTTATTGAGTACTCCCCTGATATCGTCTGACGTATCCGATGGTCTATATAGAATGACAAGTGTTGAGGCCCATTCCTTCGGAATACTTTTTCGATCATACTTAATATCAGTGTTGATTTCATTGATGAAGTTCTTTGGGTAGTTGTTGTGCTTGAGACTCCCAGTAATATCTGATATTTCTTCTTTTTCTTTCTCTTCCGTTAATATCAAAGAGTGAGCTAGTTTAAAAAGACTTGACACGACTGAAACCCTTGCGATGGTGGGGTGAACGATGATCAAGTTTTTACATATAAGCTGAGATTTTGTAAACTCTGGTTTAATAATATTACTTTGATAAAGCTATTAGCAGCAGCATTAAATAGAGAAGCGTCAGTAGAAACAACAGAATCGTCTTGTTTTTCATTTCATTAGGGAAATAAAAAAAGAACATTTATAATAATGAATATCATATACCCGATATCGAAAATTTTTTCAAACTGTGTTAACACTGAACTTGATTCGAACATATATAAATATGTAATTAGGTAAACAATTGTGGATTAATCTTTCCTTTGTGTCGTAGAATAACGCCATCACTACTGTCTTTGAACATGCCCGAAGTTTTTTGGAAGGTTGTAGAATAAATAGGTACAAGTCGCTTAAGCTAGTCACTGATGATGTTCACATAACTCTGAAGAGTTACCAAGCACTCCACCCACATAGGAACACTATTATCAGTCAAATGGAATCCCTAAAGGAGAATGCCGGTCAGAAGCGAAAAATGCCAACTAAGAAATATTACACGTTATAGTGCCTGTGATACAACGAAAACCTATTCGTAACTCAGAGAAAGCATTGGAAATCTCCAGAAAATGTTGAGAATTCACAATTCTTCCATCAGACAAACTCAGAACAATGGTCGTAATAGATAAGTTAGTTAGTGTATTTCAATAAAGCATCAGATCTTCTACAAGATGAGTCGCATCATAATGGATTTGAAACTTAGATGCTATCGGAAAAGTGGACTGTTGAATAAAGAATGTAGTTGAGTGGATTCATTGGAGTTAACGGCTTACTACAGTAGGTACTCTTTTACGAACCACTGTCACACAAGCTCGATTTCCATCCTACCTATCAATAATAATAACAATAATAGTTTTTAGGAGTTTGACCAGGGACTGATATCAGTTGGAGAAACATTGAAAACCAGTGCTGGAGTAATGGACAGCTTTCTCATCCTAGTTTGGGAATCATCGGTAATACGCACTCACTGGGTTTCGAACCCAGGACCTTCTGGTTACCATTTGGCCACTGGGACCCGAGTCAATGTCCAGCTCATGAATTCTAACTTCTACTATTTCTTGATTTAGCTCAAGCACCAACCAATATCATCGGTGGGACATCCATCCTCACAATTGACTGGACGGTCCTTATTGGTCACGACTTCTCACTAGAACTCCAGTTAACTCCGTCCTGTAGCAAGTCACTAGCGAGCCTCATATGATTTTGTTTATTATATTTTGATGACTGTTTCATGACTGAAATCACTGGAGAAGGTTGTTAAAAAGAAGGGATGTCCTTCATATATATATATATATATCCTTTATATATACATATACATCTATATATATATATGTATGCCAAATAAGGTATTGTAGAGTTGTTTCACCAGGTCATCCGAGCATATAGTGTTTTATAGTTGCTTCTGGTTCTACGTGATGATATACAAAAATTGTTCGAATCCCGGTGAGTGCATACTGCTAAAGACTCCCAAACCAGGAGGAAAGAGGTGTCCAGTACTCCCAGGTTTTCCAATGGTTCTCTGACCAATGTCAGCTAATGATGAAATACTGTAACCAAACAATGTAATCCTTACATACCAATACATGGATATCAATGAGATGCTCACTGACGACTGGCCTTATTCAGGTAGGTAGCTATCTGGGGTTCTCTTTGGAAGTCATGACGAGTAGGGTGCAACAGGTCGAATGTGAGGGCAAATACTCGCCGAAGACATTGGTTAGCAGCAGCTCTATGTCGTGAATTGGCAGAAGTTGAAATTCATGGGCCATTGGGTCGGGTCCCATTGGCTTAATGACCGACGAGCTCGCTCGCTGTCTAACCACAATGTGTTGGGTTCGAATCCTGTTGGGTGCGTACTGCCGATGATTCCCAAACTAGGATGAAACAGCTGTCCAGTACTCCAGCGCTGGTTTTCAGTGGTTCTCCAGCTGATATCAATAATCCGTGATCAACTCGTAAAAACAAAACTAACCCTTACAAACCAAACTATAGAAAACCTTCTTAAAGGTTATTGTTATCAACCATGGTGAAAAATCATCAGAGCTGTGTAACGTGCAATTATTGAAAGAAAAAAAACAAGATACACGATTGTGTTGTTTCTACTGACGTCTCTCTGTTTAATGCTGCTGCTAATAGCTAGCTAGCTAGCTTTATCAAAGTAGTAGTATTATTAAACGAGAATTTATCAAAATATCAGTTTAAGTGTAAAAACTTGATCATCGTGCATCATCAGGATGGCGTCACTTTTATGTTGTCAAGTTGACCAATTGGTAAAGATAATAAAACCATGTATGTTTATATGTAGATTGTTGAATTTGATAAGCGTATGAAATTGTACATGGAGCAGCATGTGTTTACATAATTGAATTGCTTATCATCTCACATTTGTGTTAATTTTGTGACTTGATGAGAGGGGCGGGTGTTGCAACTAGGTGGTCAAATTCTGTTTTAGTCCATCCATAATTTTTTTCTTATAATTGAATCGCAGGATAAAGGATGCTGAGGATTAGACTTAGCAGTTGGGGTGACTAGCAATGGATGGAATCCAGGATGCTTATTTTCTCCTATTTGAGACTGACTCATTATCATGTGGATGCAGTTGGATATTCGCTTGTGAATGATGGTGTTTACAATGAGGCTCGAACCTAGTAACCATCGGTTCAAACGCCAAGGCGTTATCCACTAGACCAGTCGGGTCACGAGAGCCACCTTTTTCCTACGCAACGGGTATCATCTATTATTATTATTGAATTCAATTTGAATTTCCCCGTAGGAACACCATCAATGACTGGAGAACGCAGGTACATCCACTAGCTGAAGAGTCCCAAATTGGACGAAATGCGTGTTGTCCTGGATTCTACTACCAGTCACTATCCATTGAAGTTAAATACTTTGACATCATCGAAGTATGTGCACAACGGGCCGACATGTCAACACACAGAAGTTGAACACGTTGGCCCAGTCAATCAATAGAGAAAGTCCAAATTAAATTAGATAAATTTAGTTATTGCATTTCGATTCACTAATTCGAAAAGTGATTAATTATGTCTCAAAATCACTGGCTTTAGGAAATATCCTACAACATTCATACTTTTTCCCACTTTTAAAATCTGCTGTAGAGAAGAAAAGACCGATGAGGCTCGACGTCGATGTTTATTAGGATAAACGCATTCTAGGTACATAAAATTGGTATACCTTATCTACAATGCTTTTTTTGCACATCAGTTGCAAATTGGTTGAATATCAACACATTTGATAACTTGTTGGATTCTGCAGTGTCTCTAACGTTTTTCTGAATTCGTTTTCCGATATACTACTTATGTCTGATTATAAGTAGCACTCATCACACACTACTATCACAGAAATATGGTGTAAGAACGCATCGGTGTGTGTGTATGTATGTGTGCGTTTATATGTATTTGATCGTTATCTTCCCCCTAATAAACACTATTTTATCTTCTGTTATAGAAGAAAGTACTAATGAATGGGATAAATTCCGTGTTGAAGTACTAGTCAATGAGAAGACAGTCGCTTGGCCGTTAGCTAGTCGAGTACAACCGCCAACTCTGGAAGCACCAGGTGATACAAATGCTCCATTATCAACTGTACTTAAACACTTCACTGGTTGTATGCCTGATGTATATGATCATGACGCAGTATGCTCACTTAAAAAAAACCCATAGATTATTTATAGTGTGTATAATATTTTTCTTGTCACCCTCCTTCTCCCCCACCTTTTTTCTCAATTGTTCAATGATGGCTAATCATGGAATGAATTCATTAGAAACGAAAGCAGCTGACGAATTATGTATTCTCTCCTTTTAGCTGCCGCTCAGCTCCTATCCCCTCGCCCTTCCCTGCTTTCAGTTGCTTTTCTCTCATATTTTTGTTCGTTTCTATCTTGGACACTGTTTTTGTACAGTCCTTTTTGTGTATATCTGTAAACTGAAGATATAGAAGCGACAACATAATAGAGACTACAATTATTAAATGACTAGAATGAGGGGAGTGAATACTTCTCAGTCAGTGTGTATCCCTTTTTCATAGTTGATTTTATTCCTTTCTTGTTTTGTTTTTTTATAACTCAACGTCGTCTATTGTTATCACGTGTTTCATAGCCTTTGAACTTGTCTTGTACACGTATTTGCCTTATTATTTTATACATCTACATATATATAGTGATTATTTGATAAATTAATAATTTTAAACTGTTTATTTTACGTGAATAATCTTGTCAAAGTAGTTATTTACTGATGAGATTTGAAATAAGGCATTAAGAAGACAAATTTCGCCGTGAGATGATATCATCATTTCGTAGTTTCTTTACAACCGCTTTACAACTAACATGGTTAACAATAATAAAATGAAGTTCATGACAATTACTCAGTTAAATAAAAACAAACAAAAGTACATAATAATGACCAATCATATTTAGATAGGTCATGTTGTCCATGGTAGGCGAAGATTGAAGTCTATTGTTTTTTGTACATACAGTTTAGGCTGTATGTGATTAATCCCCCAAAGTGTTTCCATCACCTTCAATAACCAACCTTGAATTAGAGTTGTGTGGTGAAATAATTGCGAAACGGTAATTAATATTGATTTTGTGACCTGACATTAATTAGTGTTTTTTTGCAATGGATGATGCTGGATTTCTATTCAGATTAATCGCGTTGCGATTTTCTATATGATTTAGTAGCCATTTTGGAACATGTTCTTTCCGACGACATTGGAACATTCTATTGGTTCTACCTATATAGGTGTCACCGCAACTGCAGGTGAACTTGTAGATACAGTTTGATGAAGTAGAGTCCACAGAATTTCGTCCTTTAATCGTAGGCACAGGGATCGAAAATGTTCGGCAAGTGAGAAAAAGAGATGTGGCGGCGTAGAATGTGCGTTTGATGGCTGACCGAAATCTTTGATCTAGCTGTCAACTGCTTAATCTTGTCACCCTTGAATGGTAGGTTAATAAAGATAGCTTTCTTTGGTACAGAAGCTGTCTTTTCGAGATGTGGTCTTTCTTTACTGTGACAAGTGATAACCATTAGCTAATAAAACTGAATGTATATTTCGAAACTCATCCATCAATGTGTCACTTGTGCATACTTTTCGGGCCCTTGAGAACAAACATTTCACTAGGGAACGTTTATACTGGACTGGAACAAAAACTGGTAAAACGAAGATATTGTCCACTCCATGTCTGTTTACGTAAAATAGATCGTTGAATCGTTCCATCATCTCTCCTAGTCATAGTAATATCCAGGAAACCGAGTTTGTTATTCAATTCCAGTTCGGAAGTCACTCGGATATTTGGATGAATATGATTAAATAGGGTAATAAAGTTTTCAATAGATTTACCATTATTACCAATAATGAGAGTATCATCTACATAACGTTTATACAGCATAAATTCTCCAAGCATACCTTGCATTTGTCTCTCCGATTTCGACATGAAAATATCTACTAACAGGGGCCCAAGAGGGCTACCCATCGCAACACCATCGATTTGTTTGTATGCCTTTTCTTGGAAGGTGAATCTAATATTTTCTGTACACATTAAGATGATGTCTCTGATGTAAGTTACAGGAATAGGTAAGTTTATTTCATTACTTGTGATGTAATCGCAAATGAAAGCAACAGTTTCATTAAGGGCAACATTAGTGAATAAAGATTCTATGTCAATTGAACACATAACCTTATCCTTAATGTTCAAGGTGTCTAGCATATCTGTCAGATTTATTTGTATTATTATTATTGTTGTTGTTCCCTTGAGTTCCTAGTGGAACATAGGCGTTCAACAGCGCATCTCTACTATTGCCCATTGTCTTCGATCTCCTCCTCTTACGATGTGCTCCATGTCCACCGTTGTAGTCAGAGGCCCAACTCATCGTTTCCCATTCATCTTGCACTGGAGGGCCTGGTGCGCGATGTCATTCGACGGTCTCATCAGCTGTCTGCGTCGTATCCATCTGTATTTCCTTCAGCATGTTTGTTGAGCAATAGGTTCTTGATAGGTTCGTTCATTGCCAGAGTTTCTTGTGGCTAATTCTTTCCGGCCAGTCATTTGATCTTTAACATATGTGGAGCCAGCGAAGGTGGCAGTTGTGTATAAAAGTTTGAACTGACCCCTGTTGGAAATGCTTTTCGTGACGCGCAGTGCAAGTGTCTGACCCGTATAGAAGAACAGACTGATTGACTTCACATTTGTGTTGAAAATTCGAATTCATTTTCATAGCTTTACAATCGCAAATATATATGGTTGTTTTGTATGTGTGTGTACATTAAATTTGTCAAACAAAAATACAATTAGTAAGTTCAGATGAATTGGATGTTGATATAAGAGGGTAGTAACAAAAGTGATGAGTTGTCACAAATGATTGTTAAAGAAAAGTTGCTTAATAACATGAGTAGTTTGATGAAAGAGTTGTGCTCAGGGTGTACATGGAAATAAAATAACATAAGGAATTACGCAAGAATTTTAAGTAGGTAGAAAAATAAGCATACAAGCAAAAGTTAAGTCAAATCAACAGAGTTGTTACCATGATAGTAGAAGTGGTTGAATAATTTTCTTTTATATGCATAGTTCTGGTTCTTCCAACTGAATGGCTAGGGCTTCTGCAATGCAAAGAAGACGGAAACGTATTGTCTTTGGTAGGTTGTTCTTCACTTTGTAGATTACTTTGAAGGAGGCGTCTGCTGAGATGGAATGACCAGTGTTGACGAGATGTTCGATTATTGCACTCGTTATACGACCAGTACTTCCTTTCTGCAGCCACGCTGGATAGTGTTCTTTAACCCTTTTTGACAGGATGCGCGTTGAACGACCGATGTACCTGGCTCCACAGCAACAGGTGAACTGATATATACACATAGAAGTGGTCAAGTGTGGGATTTTGTCCTTTGGGCTTCTGCAGATCAGCGGGCGACTGAAGAACACTACTCTCAATGTTGTCGCAAAGAAAGTTCTTCTGAAAGAAGTGGAAATTCTCCCCCTGAGGACATCACTGAGTAGGTCACCTTTGAAGTCGAGGCTCATACAAAGTATCTATTTTGGCACGGATGGCGTCTCTTGCTTTTAGACGTTTTTGTCTTTGAATCTTGGTGGATAACCTTTTTGTATGAAGGTTTCTTTCAGGAAGTGTAGTTCTTCTTTCAGGGTATCAAAGCTGCAGATGCGTCGGACGCGAGTAGCAAGAGATCTAATTAGGTTTCTTTTTCGACTGATTGGTACCCAGCTGTAGAAGCTTGTCAATTGGCCGTTCCATGTGGGTTTCCTATGGATGGACCTTCTTGAAGCCCCGTCAGCTCTCCTTGTAAGTTCAACATCAAGAAAAGGAATTTTAGATTCGTTTTCAATTTCGAGAATGAATTTTGTAGCTGAATGGCATTTGTTGAATATTTGTAGTAGCTGATTAAGATCGTGACCGTCATCACACATAATAAAGATGCCATCCACATATCTGGCATACAATTGGAAATTATCAATAGTTGACTTGAGTGGGCCGTTTTCGAGGTTTGCCATGAAGCAGTTTGCTAGCAATGGGCCCAGTGGAGATCCCATTGCGATCCCATCTTGTTGTCTGTAAATAACATCGTTGAATGTGAATTGTACATTAAGTGTACATCTCAGTAGTAGTTCTTTTAAACAAATCGTCGGTAATCCGATGTTCAGCTCGTTTTCGTCTATATATTGACAAGTGTGACAGACAGTTTCTGTGAGTGAAACGTTAGTAAATAGTGACTCAATATCAACAGAGAGCATATTTTTGTTCGTCACATTGATATCTTGTATATAGTCGACGAATTGAAAGGTATCACGAAGCGAATAGTGGCACATCTCTTTTCGTACAGGTTCTAAAATGTCAGCTAACCATTTCGCTATTGAATGGTGTGGGGAACCTGGCCTGGCATATCTAAAATTGGACGCAGTGGGAGGTTGGCTTTATGTATCTTTGGTAAGCCGTATAGTCTTGGTATTATTGCTCCTGTCGGTCGAATCTGATCATAAACTTCATGACTGATTAAGTGTTCGGTCTACATTCTTTTAAGGACATCATTGAGATGTTTTTCAATCTGTTCTGTTTTACTTCTTCCATTGGGTAGTTGCGAGAATTTCGTTTTATCTGACAATATGTTATTCATTTTCTCTATGTAGTCTTTTCTGTCCATAAGGACTATGCCAGCTCCTTTATCTGGACGGGTTATCAGAAGTTCTTTATTTTGTCTCAGTTGATTTAATTCTTCTCTAAGTTGCTTTGTTGTTGATTTGAATCTCTGTAGTTCTTGTTCAGAGGTTGGAGTTAAATCATTTGTTTGGGTAATTAAGTTTTCAAATTGTACATGAGTATGAAGTCTGTTGGCATTCAGGTTGACGTCGCAAAATTTTCGACTCATGGAGAGAGCTTCTAACTGCAAGCTGGATAAAACAACCGAAGAGTAACTGAATACGAATTCTGAAAGGTCATCAGGAAACTTTTTGTTTGCTTTGATAGATTTGAGGGTTTTGGTAAGTTGGGATATGGTAGACTGTGACCGTTTTTCAGTGACTGTATTGACGTATTCTGTAAACTTCTGAATTTCACTAGGTAGCAAATCGTGGAGGGCTGGAGACCTTTGTGAAATGCTGCGTTGTAGTTCTGGAATACGTGCTTTATTAGAGTCGGCAATATTCAATGCATGACGTCGGAGAGATTTTGTGTTGGGATATATGTGACTTCTTCTCAGTGCTTTCCAAAACCACTTTGGATATTCGCGATCGGTGATACAATTATTGAAAAAGTTATTTTCGCTTTCGCTACCGCAAGCTTGACGGAGTACCGCAGAAACCCATTGAGTTCC